ACCATGCTGGAGGTGGCTGGGTTCGATTCCCGGTCCGGTCTAGGAATTTTTCGGGTTGGAAAATTTCTCGGCTTCCCTGGGCATACAAGTATGATTGGACTTGCCACACAATTATACCAATGCAAAAATGGTACAGGCATCGAAAGCTCTCAATTAATAACTGTGGAAGTGCGATATGCAATAAGCTTGAAATGCGAAGAAGAAGAAGACGAAGATAAACCGACTGCATATAGCAGATATCGCAAGTTCCCAACACGTCTCTGATAGGAATATAGGGTTGTCTTCTTTGGGCCTCGAGGGTATTCAAAAGTCGCTCTCTGGCGGCGTCATTATCCGTACATTGCCAAACTGCGTGATCGATGTCATCGTAACCGTTTCCACACCGACAGATGTCGCTGTCCACGAGGTTTATTCTATTGAGATGAGCATCTAGCGAGTAGTGGTTGGACATAAGTGTACTCTTCACGCGAATGAAGTCACGACTTGAGACCAAACCTTTAAACCACCCTCTCGAAGAAACATTAGAAATAATTGAATGTAACCACCGTCCAAGATTGCCATTGTCCCAATCGGTTTGCCAACTCGAAAGGGTACTCTGACGCACTAAGTGGTAAAATTAATCGTGTTAAATTTGCCTGTCATAAAATTCGCCCACCTTTGCGAGAGAGTCCACCATCTAATTGCCTGGGATTGAGCAATGTAAGGGGGCAAAGGTAATCATATATGATCGTTCGACCAGCACACTCATCTACTCCCTTAGCCTCGATTGAACTTAGACTATCCGAGAAGATAATGGTCTGCGGGCATCTTGGAAATCATCCCCAATGCGAAGTTGATTGCTAAGCTCATCAACAAAAACGGAACAAGGTTCTTGGAGTTTACGGAAGGCGCTAGAGTTTTCATTTAAGACACCGAAGCCAGTGAATCCACTGAGACGAGACCCGTCTGTAGATTTTTTTGTTGGTCAGCCATTTTTTTTCCCCAAGCATTCCCAGGTTACTTTATGCTTATGATCGAGTTTTTTGTGTATTTTATTGAGTTCAGAAAAAAAAAAAATCCTGCACAAATTTGCGCCATTTGGAATAAGAGCGTTTTCAAAAATTTGTTTAGATTAGCTGATTTTCGTGTAATAACATTATTTTCGCGTAATAGGGGAATTTACATATTCTCGTCAGTCTAAGCAGCGTGCATGCTTCTTTTTACATTGTCTCGTTCTCATGCACACAACTGAAGACTTTGTTTGTTTACATTCTTTTGCTGCCTGCTGATTTATGTATTCAAATCGACCTAATTGTCCAAAATTGTTTATAATCGTTTTTTCAACGCTCCAAAATTTCCAGGTGAGTGTGACAATTATTGGCAGCTTCTTTTTCTTAGGCAGCATTTCCATTTGATTTACGTGTTAACTGGTTGTCCTATTATCGGAATCTCTAAATTAGCTGCATTATGTACAAATCTGGCATGCCAAATTTGTTCAGACATCGAAATCAGTTTGTAGCTGATTAACCAAAGAATCGTTTGAATACATCTAACAAGATGTTCTGCTGTATAATAACCGCTTGAAAATTGGTTGCCGAGAATAGTTGTTGGTGCCGAAGCCAAAATTTACCCTATTTTAAATTTTCACGATGAAACTGTTTTGTTATATTGAAATATGTTGTTGAACAACGGACTTTTGATATAAAAAGCAAAACAACGTGACGTATTAAGAATGTATGTTTTTTGTGTACTTTATTATGTATCAAAGGTAGAATAAAGCATCTGCTACCCACTATTCCTACCTATCGTTCAAGACTTGTTGAAGCTACCTATATTTCTCATTGCGTTCAGAATCGTATATAAATGGTTATGGGCCGTTTCTAGTTTCATTGAACACGGTTAAACACAAGCGTGCACATGGATAATAAAACTATTATTTCACTTTTTGACGTAAAGCTAACGCATAGCGAAAACGTTCAAAAAGCCTTCAATCATATTTGCGAAACATGTCATATCCACGTGGAAAAACAAACACGACTGCAGGATAAAATTTACAAACTTGTCAGTTAATACAAGGAGAAGTGGAGTCAATCTCAACGAAAAACCCCGAATTTATCCACCTATGGTGTGATCAGACCCTTCTTACTTATTCAAGTTTATTTATTTTATTGTCATTATCAGTGACCAAGCCCCCCACTCCCGTGTCATCCAGTGACGCTACGCCACTGCCTGGGGGTACCCGGAATATATCCGGGTGTAGTCTATTTGGTGAGGCTACCAATCACCTTATCATCGTATTTTAATGTGATTTAATGGGTTTTAATTCAATTCATATTCAAGCAACTTCCCCGGGGTACCGGAACATGTTCAAGTGTGTCCAATGTGGTCTGGAACACTTAACACGACTTGCATTGATCTTATTTTTGAATTCTGTAGTAATTTGATGTGTCGCACACGCAGAAAAAATATTTTAAACGTAATAATATTTGACGTAAAATTAATAAGAATTTCATTTTGTTTTGGCTGCAAAAAGAAATCATTATTGTTTGAACAATCCAGTATTTTTGTTTCTAAAAACCCATGGATTGTTAAACCAAAAAGGAAATCTGTTAGAATTTACAAGAGCTTTCATGGTTTTGACGTAAGCTGTCAAATTTGGCAGCTGGGTCAACAACAAAAATATGTTTGTTTTTAAAAGAGATTTCTGGTTGATTCAATCATATTTATTTTATAAAGTCTGACAATTCACGCAGTAGAAATAAAAATATGTTTATTGATGCAAAAATAATCTGGCAATTTTTTTTATGTTTTGTTTTCTTTTTGAAACAAAATTGCAGAAATTGCAATTGAATTGTTGAGGCATAAAATAAAAGCCCCCGGTTCATGAGTTGATGGGTCGATATGTAGGGTCCAGATGTGGGAGCTGCCTTCCTGGCGTCGGGAGCATTGGTACTCGTCAGTACGGAAAACATGATCGACGGAAAAAAATCAAGGAAAAAAACAGAAGCATTGATTATATTTATCAACTGCAGCTCGAATTGCAGCATACTTACTTACCTCAAGTCTCAAGATTTTCGAAAATCCCCGAAATTCACAATTAAAAACAATACTTACGAGGAACGCGGAAGTATTGTTATTGTTTACATTTTTGTCCGGGTGAAAACGAGGGAATCGTTGGTAGCTATTTTTGCTTTCATGACCCAGAAAATGAACACAGCAAATAAATGCTAAATTAAAATTAACTATTGTTGGCTTAATAATAGAATATTGTTATTTTTACAATAGCTACAATTGAAAAGTGGCTGATTAAAACAAAAAGAATCTTATTTTGAATTTATATGAATAAGTATTATTGAAACAACAAAATGCAATATAATTTCAACCGGAATTGTTTGCTTAAATACAATTAAAGTTTTTTTTTGGTTCAATGCAAACAATTTTCTGTCCGTGCATGATGGTTTTGATACGTTTTCCGTTAAATCCAGCGTGAAGGCCCATATTCACCGGATCTTATTCCGGCCATATCTCCGGAACCGGTTCACCGATTTCAAAACCGTTCAATAGCGTTCAATGGGACCCCAAGACCTATAATTTGAGCCGAGTTTGTCCAAATCGGTTGAGCGGTTGCTGAGAAACGTGAGCGCATATATTTCGTTACATACACACACACATACACACGTACACACACACACACACAGACATGTTCCGATCTCGTCGAGCTGAGTCGAATGGTATATGACACTCGGCCCTCCGGGCCTCGGATCGATAGTCGGTTTTTCAAGTGATATCTATACCCTTCTTTGTAAGAAGGGTAAAAAGAGAGATTTGATTCAGATCATCGGAGTTGGCTCGAATCTAGTTTTGCCATCAAGGAATTCATCGAAGAGGAGCAGAACGTTCCTTCAACATCAAAACGAGGGAGACCTTCAAAGCAGTTTGATGAGCTGAGCGAAAGAAGCAAGCGACGTCTTTATAAGAAAATGTACACGCAGTTAACAGATGCACGTGGAATGATGTCACCTGAAGAAGCATTTAGTATGTTCATTGAAGCTGGCTTAAGAAAAAGTCAATACGAAGTAATACATCGAGAGGAACCAGCAAGATTTCCACCATACAACGTTATCGGGACAATAAAAAAAATATGTGCCCCTCCAACTCAATCCATGGATGAAACCAAATAACCAAATAAAGGTGAAACTACAGGCTCTGTTGGAGCATACAGTCCAACGAATCATCAAAGTTATTGAGAGGGAACTCGACGAGTTTATGACATCAAATAACCTGTAATATTCAGAATTGATTCTATTGAGTAGTTGGGGCATGGATGGTTCAACCGGTTATTTCCAGTATCATAAAACACTGCCAGACGAATGTCAAGATGATTCTGATGTATTCTCATCAACACTCTCTCCAATACGGTTATATGTGGCGAATAATCCGAACAAAATTATGTGGTTTAACCGCATGCCTCAAAACATTCGGTTTTGTAGACCATTCATCCTGCAATTCGTGAAAGAGGGTAGAGAAATAATTCTTGCTACAAAACAAGACGTGAAGAAAGAAATGCAAGAACTAATACCAGTGAAATTTGATCTATTAAACGGAAACACAATCTTAGTTGATTTTAAATTTGCACTAAGTATGATTGACGGTAATGGGCGATCTTGGATCGAAACACAAAAGATCGATTCTTTTGGTTCGATTAATCGATTTTTTAAATCAATTTCAAACACGACAAAAATCGACTGGATCGATCCTTTTCATTCGATTTTTGTTTCGATCCAACAAAACAAATTTCAGTGCATTTGCATTTGCAATTTAATATTGACCTATACCTGGAGTCTTCAGCTCACGCTCAGGCAGTTAATATTTTATCTGAGTTAATCTATAGTACCAAAAGAGTACACGATGATTGCACACATCAAAACCAACCGGAGGCCTATGGGATATTCATGACGTTACCATTTCGAAAGATATTAATCTACAAATCTAAAAACATTCACTTTTATGACATATTTCAGGTTCATCAGTCCTCTGCTACACGGTAACCAGCGTAAACACATAAATGAGTAAAAAAATACACATTTTTTATATTTATATGCAGCTGTCAAAAAATGTGTAAATTTGGAAATCTTAAAATGTGTAAAAAAAATACACATTTTAAGAATGTAGTACCAATCAAAAAATGTGTATTTTTATACTCATTAATGGGTAAAAATAAACTTCAAACTTTGCTGCATCCTGTTTCGTTGACCGGCCTTCGGCCGCTAAGCAGTGATAAACAACAGTGAAATTAAGGAACTAAGGTCCAAACTGGACAGTGCAGATGGACAAGCTAGGGTAAGTGATTTATATTATTTTCATAGCTAAGTTTAAGAAGAATTTTTTTTTCATAATCAAGGTTTTCATTGTTCGGTGTCTGGCTGCGATGAGTTCCGTGGCAATCTCGTTAAGGTTAAAACTCATATAAAGAGATAAATGTGATAAAGATAAAAGAGATAATAAATTATTATTGTATCCGAGAATTCTTTATATTATCAGTGACACAAATAAGAAAACTCCGAAATAAATAGAAAAAAGCATGCTTTCCCATCGTATTCAATTTCTAGAAATGATTACTTTTTACACATTTTGCTGTAAAAACCGTTATTGAAAAATGTGTAAAAAATACTCTTCTATTGATGTTTGCTGGGTTTACACATAAATGTGTAAACGCAGTTTACACATTTTATGAGTAGGCCCCTTTTTTCACAAAATGTGTGAAATTTTACACATTAATGTGTTTACGCTGGTTACCGTGTATGTCATCACCATGGGGGCATATCGGCAGAATTACAAAATTTATTGCATCAACCTGTTTTTCCACGTTCTGTCGATATTTTTCGATTTTCCGTATTAATTCCATCATGACCAGATTTGAATACAAAGAAACCATGGAGGAGGTTATGCTCCCTTATGCAGAAGAGAACATACTAATTTCAGCAAGACAACGATCCGAAACATACTCCTAAGTATGTAAAGGAATGGTTTCGTGTCGGTTATTTCATGGCCTAGCCAATCTCCTGACATCAACCCCGTCGAAAATTTATGGAACGAGCTTAAAATAAAGTTATCTTGTCAAACATTTTCAAACAAGGATCAACTATGGGCCACAGTTCAAAAAGAGTGGTATGCTATACCACAGGAAACTTTTCAGTGCTTGGTTGAGTCAATGCCAAGATTGCCAACATGGCTCTACTTAACATTTTAATGACCAGCAGTGATGTATATTACACTAACATCATTTACTGCGTACGTACTACACAATTTATTTCTAAATGATATCAATTATCTCACTAAATAACGGCGCCGGTGGTGTAGTGGTAAGCGTAATTGCCTCTCACCCCAGCAGGCCTGGGTTCAATCCCAGTCGGCGCCGCCGGGATGTTCTGAGTCATAACATCTCTGATCACGCCTTCCTTCGGATGGGAAGTAAAGCCGTTGGTCCCCGGTTCATGAGTTGATGGGTCGATAGGTAGGGTCTAGGTGTGGGAGCTGCCTTCCTGGCACGTCGGTAGTATTGGTGCTCAGCACGGAAAACAAGATCGACGGAAAAAAACACAACAAAGGAAAAAAAAAAAAAATTACACTAAATGACTATTAAAGGTGAAATGTCATAACAAGATAGCTTATGTAACGTAATATCAACTCTAGACTGAACTGCACCAACTTTCCTTTGATCCGTTATATTTGAAACATTTTTGTGCCATTTTGAAAAATGAATCGATTCAGAAGATCGATTCAAAAAGATCTATTCAAAATGATTGATCAAATCGGTGAATCGATTATTTTCAAAAAAAATTATCGATTCACTAAATTCGATTCTTGCCTCAACATCGCCCAATGCTAGTTACATATATTATGTGGTAGTTCATGTCATGTGTCCTATTTGTGGGGCAACTCCAAACGTAATGAACAGCAAAGAAGGATTTCTATCCAACGTAGATACCCTAGTTTATGGTATATCGCCACTTCATGCATGGATTCGCTTCTGCTGCATATTTCGTATCGTATGGAAAGTTTTACAGCCATGTAAAAAACAGTATCTGCAAAGAAAATAAGAAGTAACGGCACAGCTTTATGAGACCAAGATCGGGAGGTGCAGGTACGAGCACTTCAGGTAACGTTTGTCGACGAGGATTCGCAAATCCAGCGTTTTAAAATTCGACGAAGAATTAAATGTGAGGTTTCGAAACATTTTAATTACTATCAACAGTCAGGAGCTAATTAATCCACAAAAAAATGATGCCTATTGCAAAGATACATACCGACTTTATTTTTCGTTGTATGATAGGCATAACAACATCATTTGGGCTACAACCAGCCTGTTGATGTATGGCAACAATAAACAATAAAATTCCTGCAACCGTACATAAAGTACTTGTTTATGCTGGAGAAATAACAATTCATTCACCAGCTCCTCTTGGAATATAAGCAGAAGAAGCTGTACCGTATGTGTGGTAATGTTTGCACCATCGTACAAATAAGGTTCCCGTTTCACCTGTGCATACAATGCCTTGATTTTCTTTGCATGCACGTAACCTATAGCTCATACCGTAGTAGGCTGTGCATAAAAGAAAATGATTTACTTAGTTTGACAGTTGCACCATGACGAAGTGGCAGCGTATTCGTGATTTGTCCTACGCGCAAATGTCACAAAAAGACATTTCAATCGCCATGGGAGTGTCCCGGTGGACCGTCAAAAGGGTTTTAGACCGAGAAAAGAAAGGACAACTTTCCGCGAAGGTGGCCACAGGTCGTCCGAGGTCAGCTCGGGTTCCGAGGGTTATCGCTGCTATCAAAAAGAAGATTCGAGTGAATTCAGTGCGTTCAATAAGGAAAATTGCAAAGGAACACGGGATCAGTGACTTTACGGCACGTAAGTTCGTAAAGGAAGATTGCGGGGTGAATTCGAATTCGGCACGGAAAAAACTCACATGATTACCAACCGCATTCGGGAGCTACGAGTCGAACGATGCAAGAAAATCTTGAACTTCCTTAAGCGAAAAAAATCCGGGAATCCTGTTCATCGACGAGAGCATGTTTACCGTCGATCCCGTATCAAATTCCAGAACCGACCGGTATATTAGTTCTTTTCCGGTAAAAGACGTGGCCGACGAGTACAAGAACGTGTATCTGACCAAGCATCCTGTTAGTTTTATGGTGTTTGGATTGGTGGCTTCCGATGGCAAAAAAAATGGACCCGGTGTTCATTCCAGAAGGCAACAAGGTCTACATCGGGATTTTAAGTAAGTATGTTCTTCTGTGGATCAAAGAACAGTACGGTCCGAAGCCAAATGTTTTATTTCAACAAGATGGGGCTCCGTGCCACACCTCGAACCGCACTCATAAGTGGTTGCAGGAACATCTTCCGTTCTGGGCGAAGGATATGTGGCCGCCATCCAGCTCCGATCTTAATCCGATGGATAACTCAATATGGCGCTTAATGAAGGTCAAGGCCTGTTCTAAACGCCACCCGAGTACAGCAAGCCTCAGACAAACATTGACCCGTACCTGGAGAGAAATTGATCCAGACTACATTATTAGAACCTGCCGTGCATTCCGGAAGCGTGTGGAGGTCGTAATTGCAGCAAGTGGAAGCTCGACCGATGATTAACATAGTTTAAGACTCTGAGAAACATCCCCTCCATTATCACGCATACGGTAGAAAGTCAGCATAAACAGCTGAAAAAAAAAACGATCCCGAGTCGAAAATATACATGATGTCTTCTAGAGGTGGGCAAAACCGAGGGGGGCGACATATCCAAATTTCAATTCTAGATACTCCACAAATCTCACACTAGTGAATCAATCTTCGAAAAATCTTCTTTCATTTCTCGCATCTACTTGCATCGCAGATCATCTTTTTGCAGGAAATCTTCAGAATCGTCATCAATCTTCTTTCTATCTATTCAGCATGCGTGTAGCTAATCACAGCAAAAAACAATTTTTACTACATCGTAGATATAGTCGCTCCCCTCGGGCAAAACAGCTCATCTGGCTGAGTGGATCAAACCCATTCAGCTCAATAAAGGGAGTCGATTCTTTTGAACAGCTCTTCAACTCATATTGAAATTATAGAAATTATGACACAAATTCAAAATCGGAAAATTAATTACTGGTTTCAGTGCTTAAAACCGCATAAAACTGTAAAAGTAGTCTAACCTTATAAATCCGTACCTTATAATATGGCTCTACTTTTCAAAGTAAAACGCCACTAATGCAACAACTGATCAACCATCGCGTAAACCAAAAAGCGCGCAAAATGAGCCAACAACATATTAGTAAAAACAAAAAATGTATGCAAGAGCTACACCTATGTCACACGCGATGATATGATTCACATCGTGGCACAGGATGTTACGCCTTTTCTCAAGCTATGTAATCCAGTCTACATACAGATTTTATTTGTGATGTTAATTCTCCAGCAGAATTTCTCTCACTATTCTCGGCTTCAGCTCCAGATCATCAGCTCAGATCCGGATCCGGAGCTGAATCGTGAAGAATCGAGAGAGAAAAAAAAAGATCCGAAAAGCTGGACGGGTTCGAGAGCTGGACGGGTCCGAGAGTTGTCAACCTAAACAGCTCCCAGTGTCGAGTAGATGATTCGGATCCGGAGCTGAGCTGATAAGCTGGAGAGCTGCATTTCGCTTTTCGGTTATTTGCTTTTGTGTGGATCTTCCGCTCCCCCAGAGAATGATGGGAGGAGAGGTGAGATTTTATATACTGGAGGAATAACATCAGCAATAAGCGCCGGGTACATGAATAAATTGTATAATACCTGTAGAAAATTAACATCGTATAGCACATGTGCATACGTCTCTCTCTTCCAAACAGCCGCTTGGAAGTTTGCTTTTACCATTGGTGCTGACGATCAGTAGGCACATGGTGTATTACGCGCGCGATTTGGTTTACGTGGTGACTGGTTTGAATAGTTTAGACTTGTGATATCAGTGAGCTGATGAGCTGTGGTTCCTAAAAAATGAACCGCGGGTCATCAGCTCACTTTAGAGAATCGGGTCTATAGAACAGCTCGGGAGCGGATCGCCCATCTCTAATGTCTTCATTCGGGCAATGGAATGAATCAAATCCATTCATTAGTACCATTCGGATGGAAAGAAGAAGACAATCAAAAAAAGCATTGAGCTATCCCAATATTGTCAAAAGTTTTATGATATTCGAAGATTCTGAAAACTGCTCAACAGTCGATAACTGCAATGCATTGGAAGAACTTATGGAAGCTGTCAACGAAGTTGAAGAAGATTTTGCTAGTGATGATAGCAGTGCCGAATAATAAAAAA